TCAAATGAACACTATCTGCTCTGTCCTTTACGTGTATTATGGTATTGCATCCTCACAGCCACACTCCATCACCACTGAGACAGAGAAGTTAAATAACTGGTCCCAGGTTACGTAGCTAGGGAGGGGATTTGAATTTCGGCAGTTATACTCAGAGCCCAGGCTTTTAATTGCTACCAATCTGCTCCTTTAATTCTGTTACACTTGTTCTGGAGCAGGGTTCCAATGACCTTAGTATAAGAGTGTCAAGAACAGACTCCCATCCCTCCACAGAACCAAACAAAGACAATCCACCATCTCGTAATAAGATTTCACTAAAGAGATCTCTTGTACATTCCAGATAACATCAGGTGGCTAGTAAATCAGGTGAATTACAGCCTTCAGCTCTAATTCCCTCAGCCTGGCTTTTTCAGTATTAAATCACAGCTGGATTACTTTTACAACCTGTTCTTTAGGGGATGGGGGCACATTTCAAACATATTTGAGCAGAGAGGTTTTTAAGCAAGTATACTTGCCTCGTTTGATAGGAAATAATGAGGGAAATTAAATGTTTTGAGTGCCCCTTTAAAGTATCAGGATGACATTAGGGTCTGGAATATCATTTATTTCAGTTAATCTTCCCAAAGAATGTGTGACCTGCCAAAATGCTGTGAGCTGAGGAGGAAAAGCCAGCAAAAGAGGCTGTCGAACACTCATGGAGTTAGGGGACATTTAGAGGGACCAGTGCCTCTGAAGAGAAAGCAGAAGAGGCTTTCAAGTAGAATGGAGCTGTCAAACATGTACAATAATAAAGATAATTTAAGAGAATGAAAGCTGAAAAGGGGCTATGTGATAAAAAATTATCTAGTAAGTCATTTGGGATACACTAAAAAATAAACGTGTTTGATTAATGGAGTTTCTCAACAATGTTCTCAAATCACAGACAAAGCTCATTTTTCACTGTGGACCAACTGAATTATTACAAGCAATAGAAATCATACTGAAAAGAGAAAACTGGCTGGTAGATAATCGGGCATATGACACATAATCATCTGAGATGAGGCAAGTCTCCCGGCAAGCTCGAGGAACCGTGTGGAAGTCTGAGTGGCTGCAGCAGGGCGAGTGAGGAGGAGAGCGGGAGGAGATGGAGTCAGAGAGGGCGCCGTGAGGGCAGAGAGCACGGGTCCTGAGAGAGGACTGTGGGCCCAAGACGCCACTCTGAATGTGACAGGAAAACTTCACTGGGCTTTGAGCAGAGGAGTGACATGACCTGACGTAGGCTTTAACAGAATCACATCCAGATGCTATGCTGAGGATAAAGTAGGGTGAACTAGTGGCCAAAAACGGAAAGACCAGCTCAGAAGCCACTGGCCACTGAACAAGAGTGACATGATAGTGGCTTGGGCCAGAGTGGTGGAGGTATATGTGGTGATAAGAGATCGGAGAGCAGAAGTGTTTTGAAGGCAAAGCACACGGAGAAAATATCAGAATAAGAATTGGAAACTATATACACACCACTTTTTGTCCTGGGATTTTTCCCTTTTTTTTTTCCCCGTAAAAGTAGCTGTTTGGAGGTGGAAGCAGTGTTGAGATGAATTGTTTTCCAGACCGGGAGAAATCACAGCATATTTGTATGATCATGAGAAGACTGTAGCAGTAAGGAGAAAGTTAAAATGTGCATATCGCCAGTGTGATGTCCTTGAATAGATGAGAGGGGAAGGGCAGGAGCTACGCCAACTGGAAAAAATGGCCCACTTCTCATTATTCAGTACTCTGACCTGGTAGGTCCCAATCGTTTCATGTATGGATGTCTTTTTAATGTTAACAATTTTCAAGGACTGCCTATGCCTTCAGGGCATAGTACAACTCCTTTTCCACAAATTATTTTCAATCACAGACTTCACTTCTTTCTTTGTGTTCCAATAATTATTTTTTTTCCTTGTACTTCACCCATATTCTGTTTGTAAAGTAACTGAATGCACAGTGGATAACTCTGAACTCCTAAATACTTTACATATATTATTGGAGGTTATTTCAGCCTGAAATGACATCTTGTTCATTTTGTTTCCCAATAATGGGCAGTTCATATTGAATGGAATGAACTACTTGAAAACTGGATATATTCTGTGGTGATCCAGAGGACAGAATTAGTATTAGTGGGCAAAATTAAGAATAAGATTGATTTTGTCTTAATCAAAGGAAAGACATTATAACGTTTTGACATCTCAAAAATAGGAAAGACGATTATTTGAAATAATGAGTTCCAGGTAACTGAAAATACCCAAGTCAGTTTCTTTTCCCAACCACCATTTAAGCCCCGAGCACTGTACCAAGTGTGTAGCATACAGCACTATGTTTAGTCTTTATACTAGTCCCACAAAGAAGGAATTTGAATCATCCCCTTTTATTTTAAATGGTTAAGCAACTTGCCTTAGTATACAGCTTATAGGTGACGGTGCTGGTACTGGAACTCAAGTCTGTGTGATGCCCAAGTCTTGATATTTGCCTTGGGTGCCTCCCTGTGTAGGTGGGATTCCCACACAGGGTAGGATGTAGGAGCAGATAAATCTCTGAGGTTCTAGGAAAAATGCAATTCTAGAAAAATATAAGTTATCCAGGTAGAATCCTATGCTTTTGTTACAGTTTAGCAGGTTTGATTTTCAAAAGACAGCCAAGAGATGGAACTTGGAGGAAGAGGAAGCAATCCACAGTGAGGTGCCCAAGACAACCTTCCACTTCATTCATCCCCGTTTATTCTGGCATCCAAGTTGTCCTTGACTCGGAATGAGAACAGGTCCAAGGTCTCTGATAACCATATTATGGTGGGCTACACAGTGAGTGGGGCTTGGGGAGCTTAGAAGCCCTCTCCAAACACTGTGGACACTCTAGCTCTTTGAGCGCAGGACACAACTCATAGCCTACATCATTAATATTGTCACAGTTCTCAGCCTGTGCCTGCAGTAGGCACTTAATTAATTTTATCTCCTTTCACTCACCCTCTTTGAGTCTGCACATATCTTAAGATACTTCCTTGAGTAGCAGTAACATAAAGAAATCAGTATTATTTGATAATGTATCATCTATAAAAATAAGAAAAAATACTGTGTATTTATATGTTAAGCCATTGATCTGATTCTTCACAAAAGGAGAATGTCATATTTTGAAAATGTTTTATTTTTGACGTTTTGTTCAGAAAAATATGCATTTACATGCAAAGAATGGGACTAGAATGTTGAATAAAGAAATTTCATTTATGCATTTTTTTCATCATATTTCAAGATGTTTACTTTTTCAGCAAATAATCTGACTTGACATTTAGAAGCTTGGAGAAGGGAGAGAGGCATTACCACCCCGTCCTTTTGTGTTTCTGCTGGTTATTTTGATAGTCCACTCAGTATAACCGAAGAAAGCTTTATGCAAGTGAACATCAACTTCACTTTTCATGGAACTTATGACCTTAAAAAACCAATCTCTTAACTTCCTTCAGGGAGCCATGTGACTGACTGCCTTGTCAGCAAGCTACTTTTCCTGAATCTAAGTTATTTCCTTTCCTACACAGAAAAATTGCTGTTATCACTTCCAACCCTTTCAGTCACAGCCATTTTCATGTATAGTTTACCCTTGGAAAAAAAAAAAGAATGTCTTTTCCTTTTTGCTTATTTGCTAAAAAGTTGTTTATCCTAAAGAAAAATATAAGGGTATAAGCATATTTCATGGTCTGTGGAAAAATCGGCTTTTGCCGAGATTTCTGAGCCAAGAGACAGCTAAAATACCTCTAAAACACCTACTTTAAGACGTTCATTTCAAATATCTAAACATAAGAAAAACATGATCTGTTTAAAGCCAGCATCACCCAAGTACTTCCCAACTTCTTTATCTTACAACATATCTTATATCTTATAAGATATAATAAGATATCTTGTATCTTATTTCTTTATCTTTTTCCTCCGGATTTCACTCTGCACACTTTCCCTCACATTTAACACTGGAACTACTTCTGACTTGTTTGCTATTCCCCCAGCCTGAGGCTTTTGAGACATGGGACATCCTGATTTCTTCACTAAATGATTTTTTTCTCACCCTTTTCCCATAGCTCCTCTTGCACCTCGCCCAGCCCTGTAAATGTTCTGTCCTTGGCATCCTGCTTTCTTTCCACATGCTCTAACTGGACATTCTCATGTTCGCTCACCCAGCTTTAAGCTTCATCTACTCACGGATTAGTCCCACCTTTAACCTAGACGTCTCTCCTGAATTCCTGCCCAGAAACCTCCTGGGCAGCTCCTCCTCGATGTCCCCTGGCTCACCGCTCACGGAACATGTTCCAAACTGCACCCATTATCTGCTGCTTCCCAGCCAGCACTTCCTGTGCTCCTTATCTCAGCCGGAGGGCTTTCGTGCACCCAGACACCCAAGCTTAAAAATCACTGAGTCATGCTCAGTTCCATCCTACTCTGAAAGATTTCCCCCTATTGCTTCCTTCTCTTCCTTCCCAACGTTGTGCGCTCCGTTCAGGCGCTCACCAGCTCTTCCCCAGGTCATCACAGCGGTTTCCTAACTCCCTCGTGTCTTATCTAGCTAGCACTGATGTCAGAGACTTATTATGAAAATGTCATTCCATGTATCATTCTTTTGCTTTGAAACCTTTGATATTCCTCATTTCACACACAGAACACTTCTGAACTCCTTAGCAGACGTTATAAAGCTATTTGTAGCTTAGTCTCAATGTGCTGTTAGACTCAGCTTTTATTGCGCTCTCTGCACCCCACCCCAAAGGCACATATGCTAAATTCACCATAATCTTTACATCTTTTTGGCTTTGCACATGCCATTGTTATCTCTGCTTGAAATGCTTTCCTCTGTTTTCTTTTCCCTGACTAATGATTGATGCCATTCATTTTTCAAGAGCCATCTCAGACACCATCTCTTCTTTGACATGTACGCCAGTCTCTCCAGAAACACATTCTCTGTCTGCTCTTTCTGCCCTTAGCTTATCTTTACACTAGTTTCAGGGTCCTGAACTATAAATATTACACAATAGTAAAGGGTTCTTAAAGAGCAGGTGAAGTGTCTTCTCCACCCCACAAAAGTCTACCATCATGTCTGACTCGTGGTAAACTTCTCGTTCTAATTTATTTCCTAAAAAAAATGGAATTCATAGGCAATAATGAAAAATCTTAAGAATTGCCCAACTAATTCCAAATACCTGTCCTAAATATTTATGTTTACTCTACATTTTCTTTCTTCCAAAGAACTATGTTTACTTCCAATCCATGACAAACGATTAGTGGGACTCCTGGGATTGGCAACTAGGACCCAAGGTGAGGACAGAAAGAATTCAATAACTGCACTGACAGATGCTGGAGTCAGAGCCAACATTCCTAAGAGGTGATGGATGTGGCCAGCTACTGCCAGCCTCCATCCACTACATTATGAAACTGGCAGCTAGACAGAGAGGAGGTAAATCCAAGGGTCATTAGAATGCAGCGGGTGTGAGATGAGAGGGAATTCCCTCCCCTTCCCCTGGGGAATGGAAATGAGGGTACCCAGTCTTTCTCCCTCAACCTCCTTGGGGTTCCAATAGAATTGTTCACAAGGGTTGCTGTATCGTTTGGCTTCCTGGCTGGGCATTTGTTGAAGAAAAGGGCTTGTGAGTGTACCTGCACATCAGAAAAGCAGGGGAGATGAGTCTTGGTAAGAGAGAGGCTAGAGGGGGGCAGTGTTAAACTGGGGACACTCAGTTTAATGGCCAAGTTGGGAGACTTCTGTGGGTTAAGTGGATGCCACTTAGAATGGGGTTGAGGTTGCTCCACCCCCATTCCAAGAGTCTCCCACT